GGGCGGGGGGCTGGCCGGCCGGGGGGGGGAGAGGCCGGTGGTCCCCGGTAGCGTGCGGTGCCGGTGCGGGGTCTCCCCGAATCGCCCCTCGCCTTGCCCGCCCGCCTGGCCCCCCGCCCGTGGGAGCCCGTCCACGCAGGCTGAGCCGGGGGGTGACCGGGACGCTGCTGGGGGCTGCGCGATGCCGAGCGTGGGGCTGCACGGCCTCCCCGGGCGAGCGGGTCAGGGCCCCGCTGCGAGGCGCAGCTGCGTGCGAGTGTGCACAGCGGCCCCGTGCACGGGGACCGTGCCCGTGGCATGTGCTGCGGTGTGCCACGGTGCGCGTGCGAAGGCTCGGTGCGTGCACGCTGCTCGGAGGTGCTGTGGCCATGGCGGAGCGTGCACCCCGGCTGCTGTGGGTGCGTGTACGCGTGGAGCAGGCTGGCCCCTGCGTGCTCCTGTTGCATGTGCACACAGCTGGCGTGGGCAGGTTTGCACGTCGCGCGTAGCCCTGTTGATGCAGGCGTGCGGTGGCGCAGGGTCTCTCCCTGTTGCTCGCTGTGCGGCGGCAGCGCGTGTGTGGCAGAGCAGGGTGGGTGCGCGTGAAGCCTGGCGGCTGTGTGTACGGAGCGCGGTCCCGCTGCGGTGTGTGCGCACGTGTGGGGTGTGTGCATGGTCGCGTGGGTGCGCGCGCGCTGCGCGGCCCTTCGGTGCGTGCCTGCAGCGCCCGGGCCCATGCCGGGGGTGGGGTGCCCAGCCGGAGCGAGGGGTGTGAACAGAGGGGTCCGTGGTGTGAGGGGGCACACGTGCCCGCAGAGCCCCAGGCTGTGGGGGGGTGTCGGTGCACCGACCTGATGTGGGCGTGCGGACAGGTGTGTGCCTGTGCAAGCCCACCGTGTGCAGGTGTGCATGCGTGCAGGCATGCACAGGGGTGCACGGCCAGCGCCAGGTGCGGGGGCTGGCTGCGGGGGCCGGGCGCAGGCAGCACTGCGGCTGCGGTGGAGCTCTGGCCAGGGGCTGGTGTGGGAGGGTCTTGCTGGGTGGCGCGGGGGATTTATGGCTGGGGGGGGGGGGGGGGGGGGGGGGTGGGGAGCCTGCCTGCCTGCCTGCCTGCCTGCCGGGTGGGTGCTCCCAGACGGATGGCCCCCACCCCTGCTCCCCCAGCAGATCCCCGGGCCGCCTTTGTCAGGCCCTGCAGACAGATGGCTCTTTTCTCCCGGCTCCGCTGGCCTCCGAGTTAATCTAATGGCACAAAGCGATGCTGGTTGGGAGCATCTGCCTGCCTGCCGGGTGCCCTGCGCTGCCTCCCGGTACCCTTCATTTACATGTCTGTTAACGAGACGCGCGCCTGCCGCTGCAGACGCGCACCCCGCGCGCTGCGGCCCAAGGGGTGGCAATGCCATGAATCCCTCGGGGTCCCCTCCCTGCGCTTGGCCCTAGGTGATGGCCAGCACCTTGTCCCTCCCTGTCCCCAGGGCTCCGGCTCTCACCAGCCCTTTGCTCGCGGGGGGGGGGGGGGGGGGGGGGACCCCCAACACC